ATTAACCCTGTCCAACTGTACATTTTCCGTTATCACTGGAAATGTACTGGCCTCGCAAGGAGTTGCTGAAAACACATCTTTTCCAAATCGACTTTTCAAATTCTACGTCAGTAAAGTTTACTGCTCTGAAAAAACCTTCAGAGGTACAGTTAAGGTTCCATGTGCTCTCTAAGCTAAGATGCCAAGATGGCACATCTAAGGTATACACGCCGTATTTACCACACGGCCCGAGTTATCCCATTACTTGGCAACATCCTCAACCAAAGGTCTTACCACATCGTGATCAATTCAAGACTTAAGCTGCTGGCAAAGACGAGGGAATTGAAACATTGTTTTCCCGGAAGAAATTTGAACAAGGCAAAGATCACGAGCTGAGCACAATTTATTGACGTCATAAAATTTCGTGACCTCTAATTCATCTGCCCCTCACCTCTTTGATTACACTTTTCAGGCTTTCACTGTGACCTGAACTGCCTTGCTGTGATAATTACCTGTCCCCTCCTATACCCCTCATTATGCCCCCACATGTTTGACTTATGTTGCTCATCCTTCACCTGTTTCTGCTACTCATGTCTCTGATGATGAATCCGCGATGGGTGTCGAAACGTCAGACGAATAAACATATTGTCCCAGTGATCGAGTCTTCTTCTTCTCAGTTGCTTCCTGGGACACGCATGTTCGCTTGTATTAGGTCAGGAAATTTTATGACGTCAATAAATTCTGCTCAACTCGTGACCTTCGCCTTGTTCAGACGACAAAGGGTGACTGGAATGACCACTTATAGCTCATTAATTCTCATCAGTCAGTCATTCTTGCCCCAAAGGGGGCAACTACTGAATCCGTGATCTATTGATTAGAAGTCCAACGCTGTAACCACTGAGCCACAGGCGCGTTGTCTTGTTGACTTACATAGAAAATATTGAACTTCGCAGATGAACAATCATAATATTAGCCACTTTAGAGTTTCTGGTTGGGCTCAACAGTCAGCCGCAAGGCAGAACAGAAGGAGTTCTTCCCGGAATCGATCGGTCTTCTTTCTTCGAGAAAATTTCCAATTCATCAGAGAACAAAATTTCCTACTGACGGCCGCTCTCTCTCTCCTCGTTCTCGGCTGACAGCCGGAACCTGCCAATCAAGTGGAGATGGATTTGGAAGCAGTGGGAGGGCCTTCAATTATGGCGTGCCAAGATGGGCATGCACTGTAGCAGTTATTGTCTTACGCAAATTCTGCGCTGACTGTTATACACCTGCTCTGAGCTCGTCTGATCCCCGGATTGGGCAGTCTGTTGTGCGAGGGAGGGAGCAACAACAAGGATATCACTGACACCCAGACTTGCGCCACGTCTACCGCAGTTTCTCTCCTCTGACCAACAATGACCCCGTGGGAATAAACAAGACCAGACGCTGGATTGGGCTCGGGTGCCTGCATTGGTGGGAAACTG